TCCGAGCCGGTAATATTTGCTCCCCCCCCTTAAATTTAGTTTTTTTTCTAGGGTTTTATGATCAGATTGGAGATGAGCGTTTTTAGTGACTTTTATATAGGTCATTTTCTTAAAATGGAGCAAAAATTAGAGATGAAGATACCGTGTGAGGCTAGATTATGGCGACGGGACACGTTGATGTATAAATTATAGTCTAAACACTCGCTGGAATGTTGGGAGTTTTTGTGTAGTGGAAGGAGCTTTCAGGATATGTATTATTTTGCATTCATTTAATTTCTCATGAATAGAACAACTTGGTAAATATGGAATCGGGCAATTGCGTTGTAATTGCATTTTTAGGATGCGATGGTTTGGTTAGGCAAACTTAAAGGCCTTGGGTTCAATGTTTGAGAAGACACGCTGAATGGAGTATGGGAGGTTAGTCTGAGTCCTGAAAAGTGTGAAAGGCTAGTGCATATCTTTCCTTCGCTTGTGACGATCATTAGCATTTGGTTGGACAGTGATATTAATGAGAAATAATCAGTATTCTTAGCATTGCAAATAATGTACAGGTTATAAAGACTGAGGGTGCAAGGATTGTAATGTGAAGCACTTCTTATGGAAGACAAACCTATTCGTGTTCAGTAAAACTATTCAGTAAGCAACTTGATGACATCTAAAAAAAAATCTAAATTGGCTTATGGACATTTGTTGTTGCTAGGGGTCTAGGATAATCCTCTAGTGTAGCCTGCATGCTCTAACCTGGTTAGAAATGCTATTATTAGTGATGCATAGCAGTCAGCAAACCAGGTTTTTCTCTTACCTTTCAAACGTGTCTGTGATGCATCAAGATGATAGTGGGCGTAGTATATGCATCCAGCTTTAGGTCTGATTGCTATTTTTGGTTTTGCTTTTGCGAGCAAGTCAAGCATGTAATAGGTTATTGGCATGCAAAATCCGAGCATCAGGCATGGTAAATTGAAGTTCAGTCTTTCCCGGGAAAGTATTGGCCATTTTAACTTGGAAGATATTTAACTCTAGTATAGGATTTAAGGAGAATTGCCAAGTAGTCTCTTAGGATAACCCCACTATTGTCTATAGCTACTTAGCCAACTTCTCATGAAAACTCATCATCATATACGGAACCTTTGATCCCCTTTTGATGAGAAAATGCAATGATTTGATAACAGCATTTACTTGTGGATGCTTGCTAACATACAGGATTTGTGTTTATTGTGCTATTCGGATAAGGTAATCATCTGATAGTTTTCTTATTACATGTGTGAGTCGGTTCTCATCTCCCATTTTCCAAACATGTTCAGGGTTGCTTCTATTATCTAGGTGAACTGTTTTTTGTGTTTTCAATTGATTTTGTTTTTTGTTTTTTGGTAAACTGTGACAATGTAGTGATGAAGATTACGGAGAGTGACGTTCTTATTTCTTAGTTGTGGTGTATGCATATCCAAAAATAGCATAGTCAATAACATTATGCGTCTAATTTATTTATTTAAAGTAATAACATGGATTTGTGTGTTATTCCTGGTCTGTTTTATGTGTTAGTTCATTTTGACACTTGCATGCTGGCTTTAGTTGAAGAAGTTTTTGCTCCGATAATTTGTTTTTATGATCACTGCTATTGTACCACCCAGCTACTGATCTTTGTGACATTTTATACTTGATTTGCAAGAGCTAAAAGTAAATTCCAAATCTTTAAATGTTTGTAGCATTCTGTGATCCTGTGATTTCTGGGTAAGAAAATTCTCTTAGAAACATTACCAGAGTAATATATATTTTTGTAATTGTTCAACTAGCTTTTGCTTTCTATATGATTCTATGTCCCTTCATTGTAGCCGATAATCAGTAATTTTGTCTTATGTTGATACTGATTACTGTTTGAATACTCGTAGCCACCAGAAGTTAAAGCTTTCATTGACAGGGTGATTAAGAGTCCATTACATGATATAGCCTTACCTCTTTCAGGCTTTCATTGGGAGTATAATAAGGCAAGTTGTCTTTCACCGACTCCTGTGACCTTAAATTGACATCACTTTTATCTTATTTCATGGTAATTATTCTAGGGTAACTTTCACCATTGGAGGCCATTGTTTCTGCATTTTGAGACGTATTTCAATACCTATATTTCATGTAGAAAAGATCTGCTTCTGTCTGATAATATTGCGGAGGAAGAGTTATTTCCTAAGCATTCCGTGTTGCATATTTTGAGGGTGATGCAAATAATTCTGGAAAATTGCCACAACAAAAGTTCATTTAGTGGACTAGAGGTATTTGAATCCAAGACCTTTTCTTTAGTTTTATTCTGATGTATTTCTAAAAAAAAGTATATGCTTACTTGAATGCACCCATCCAAGACACATAAATATTAAATCTGTGAACTTAAATTACTTTTTTTTTCATGATTCAGCATTTCAGGTTTCTACTTGCATCCACAGATCCAGAGATTTTGATTGCTACCCTGGAAGCTCTTTCTGCATTAGTGAAAATAAATCCTTCCAAATTACATGTGAGTGGAAAGCTGATTAGCTGTAGTTCTATAACCAACCACCTTCTTTCTCTAGCACAAGGTTGGGGCAGCAAAGAAGAAGGCTTAGGCTTATGCTCATGTGTTGTGGCAAATGAGAGAAACCAACATGAAGGATTGTCTTTGTTCCCATCAGTTGCGGAGAATGAATGTGATGGAACCCAATATCGTCTTGGTTCAACCCTTCATTTTGAATTCAATAATGCTGCTTCAGGGAGAGTTGATCAGACCAGTGAGAAAAGCAAATCTACAGACTTGAATGTCATATATATTCCAGATCTGCATCTCCAGAAGGAGGATGATTTAGTCATTTTGAGGCAGTGTGTCGATAAATTCAATGTACCTATGGAACATAGATTCTCGTTGCTGACAAGGATTAGATATGCGCATGCCTTCCGTTCTCCAAGAGCATCTCGTCTTTACAGCAGGATCTGCATTCTTGCATTCACTGTTTTGGTGCAGTCCAGTGATGCTCATGATGAACTGGCGTCTTTCTTTGCTAATGAACCTGAATACACAAATGAGTTGATAAGGCTTGTTCGCTCTGAAGAATCTGTCCCTGCAAACGTAAGGGCACTTGCTATGCTTGCATTGGGGGCACAATTGGCTGCATATGCATCATCTCATGAACGGGGCAGGATACTGAGTGGCTCAAGTATTATTTCTGGTGGGGGAAATCGGATGGTGCTATTAAATGTTCTTCAGAAGGCAATCTTATCAGTCAGTAACCCAACTGATCCTTCCTCTCCTTTATTTGTTGATGCTCTTCTACAGTTTTTCCTTCTACATGTTCTATCCTCTTCAAGTTCTGGCAGTGCTATTAGAGGTTCAGGAATGGTTCCCCCTCTGTTACCCCTCTTACATGACAATGATCTATCACATATTCATCTTGTCTGCTCTGCAGTAAAGACTCTTCAAAAGTTGATGGAGTACAGCAGCCCATCTGTATCCCTGTTCAAAGATCTTGGTGGGGTTGAACTTTTGTCTCAAAGGTTGCAGACTGAAGTACATAGAGTTATTGCTGAAGTGGATGAAATAAACAATGCTATGGTTATCGGTTATTCAACAAAATGCGAAGGAGATCATTTGTACTCACAAAAACGTTTGATTAAGGCTTTGCTAAAGGCACTGGGGTCTGTGACATATTCTCCAGCAAATTCTACGAGGTCACGCAACTCACATGATAGTTCTTTGCCTTCTTCGTTATCTCTTATATTTCAGAATGTTAATAGATTTGGAGGGGTCATATACTTTTCAGCGGTGACTGTTTTGAGTGAAATCATACACAAGGACCCGACATGCTTTCCTATTCTGGACCAGTCTGGTCTGCCTGATTCTTTCTTGACTTCAGTTGTAACAGGGATTCTCCCTTCTACAAAAGCATTGATCTGTGTTCCTAGTGGTCTAGGTGCAATTTGCCTTAATAATAAAGGGTTGGAAGCAGTCAAGAGAGCTTCTGCATTGAGGTTTCTTGTCGATACATTCACAACCAGGAAGTATTTGGTGGCAATGAATGAAGGTGTTGTCCTACTAGCAAATGCTGTTGAGGAGCTTCTTCGACATGTATCCTCATTGAGAAGCAGTGGCGTGGACATAATTATTGAAATTATCAATAGACTTTCTTCTGTAGGAGAAGCCAAATGTGAAGCTTCTGGAAAACTGGATGAGAATACCGCCATGGAGACAGACACTGAAGAAAACGTAAGTGAAGGGCATGATTTGGTTAGTGTAGCAGACTCCACTGCTGATGGCATTAGTGATGAGCAGTTTGTCCAGCTGTGCATATTTCATGTGATGGTACTGGTACATCGAACAATGGAAAATTCTGAAACATGTAGGTTATTTGTGGAGAAGGGAGGGATAGATAATTTGATGAAACTTCTATTGCGGCCTAGTATCACACAATCGTCAGAAGGGATGCCTATTGCTTTACATAGTACTGTGGTTTTTAAGGGCTTTACTCATCACCATTCTGCTTCCTTAGCACGGGCATTTTGTTCCTGTCTGAGGGATCACCTTAAGAAAGCTTTGAGTGGGTTCAGCTCTGCTTCTGGTTCTTTTTTATTGACTCCGGATGCTGCCACTGATAGCGGAATCTTTTCTTCACTTTTTGTTATTGAATTCCTTTTGTTTCTGGCTGCCTCTAAAGATAATCGTTGGATAAGTGCATTACTAACTGAATTTGGTGACTCGAGCAAGGTTGTCTTAGAAGATATTGGACGCATTCAACGAGAAGTATTATGGCAGATTTCCCTTCTTGAGGACTCAAAGATTGAGATTGATGGTGAGAGCTCTGCTGCAAACTATGTGCAAAGATTAGACCCTCGTATAAATGAAGCTGATGACCAAAGGTTCAGTTCTTTTAGGCAGCATCTTGATCCATTATTGAGGCGAAGAGTATCTGGATGGAGTATTGAATCTCAAGTTTCTGACCTTATAAGCATATACCGAGATCTTGGTCGAGCTTCTACTAGGCCTCAGAGACGTGGAAGTGATAGCTATATGATTTCACGGTCTACGTCAAGTTCTCGACCACAATCAGATGTTTCTCCAGATGCCAGTGGTGTTGGCAGGATTGATGATGACAAACAAAGATCGTATTATTCTTCCTGTCGTGATATGGTGAGGTCACTTTCATACCATATCAGTCATTTGTCAATGGAGCTGGGAAAAGCAATGCTGCTTTCTTCTCGTCGTGAAAACAATCCTACAACGCCTTTTTCTGCACAATCAGCCTCTGGTTGGTACCCACTCTTTTCCTTCCATCATGTTGGATCACTTGAATTTTAGAGGTCATGTTAATCCGTCCCAAGGTGAGGCCTGCATATCTGCAAAGTGTAGATACCTTGGCAAGGTTATTGAATTTATTGATGGAGTTCTGTTGGAAAGGCCAGATTCATGTAATGCGGTCATGCTTAATTGCTTTTATACCTGTGGGGCGTTTGAGTCAGTCCTGACTACTTTTGAAGCCACTAGTCAGTTGCTTTTTGCAGTTAATAGTGTGCCTGCTTCTCCCATGGAAACAGAAGAAATAACCTTGAAGCAGGAGAAAAAAGAAGCAGACAATTCCTGGATTGATGGTCCCTTGGCCAGCTACTGTGCACTTATGGACCACCTATCAACATCACCATTCATCTTGTCCACCTCAACAAAACAGTTACTTGAACAACCTTTTGTGAATGGACTTAATCCCCTCCCTCAGAATGCTGAGGCATTTGTAAAGCTTCTACAATTAAAGGTTTTTAAGGCAGTCCTCCCTATTTGGACTCACCCCCACTTTGTAGATTGCAATTTGGAATTCATCGGTGCTATGATCTCTATTATGAGGCATGTTTATTCTGGTGTAGAAGTTAGGAACGTCAGTGGTGCAGGAACTCGACTGGTTGCTCCTCCACCAGATGAATCGTCAATAGCAATGATTGTTGAAATGGGGTTTTCCCGAGCTAGGGCTGAAGAAGCTTTAAGACAGGTGGGAACCAATAGTGTTGAGATTGCAACGGATTGGTTATTCTCGCACCCAGAAGAACCACAGGAAGATGATGAACTTGCCCAAGCACTTGCCATCTCCCTAGGGAACTCAGATAAACTTTCAAAAGCTGAAGGTGCACATACGGATCATCCTGATTATGAAGAGGAAACAATTGAGTTACCTTCCGTTGATGAGATATTATCAGCATGTCTCAAACTCTTGCAGGCGAAGGACTCCCTAGCATTCTCCGTTCATGACCTGCTCGTGATGATTTGTTCTCAAAATGATGGCAACTATCGATCAAAGGTCCTGACATTCATCATCGACAATATCAAGGGTGGTTGTACCACTTCTGATCCATCCAGAAACACTATGTTATCTTCTCTTTTTCATGTTCTTGCGCTGGTTCTTCATGATGACCCAGCAACCCGGGAAGTTGCCTCTGAGGCTGGTCTTGTAAATATTGCTGTGGATCTGCTTTCTGATTGGGACGCTGGCTCATGTGATAGTGATAAACCTCAAGTACCCAAGTGGGTCACGCCATGCTTTCTCTGTATTGATCGACTACTGCAAGTGGATCCAAAGATGACTCTAGAAATCCCTGAATTGGAGCAGCTGAAGAAGGATGATGTTGATACCCAACACTCTGTTGTGATTGACAATGACAAAAAGAAGGATTCACTCACCAAGGGACCAACTTCTGGGATCATTGATAGTAATGGCCAGGAGAAGCTGCTCGAGATATCTTGCAGGTGTATAAAGAACCAGTTGCCTTCTCAGACAATGCATGCAGTGCTCAAGTTGTGTGCAACTCTTACCAAAGTTCACTCTGTTGCAGTTAGCTTCCTTGATGCTGGAGCTTTACGAGCCATGCTTAGCTTGCCTATTGGTAGCCTATTTCCTGGGTTCAACAATGTTGCAGCTACAATAATCCGTCACATTTTAGAAGATCCTCATACTTTGCAGCAAGCTATGGAGTTGGAAATCCGCCATAGTCTTGTCACAGCTATAGGTAGACATGGCACTGCAAGGGTCACGCCACGCAGTTTTGTTCAGAGTTTGTCCTTCGCTATATTGAGGGATCCAGTAATATTTATGCAGGCTGTGCAAGCTATTTGCCAGATTGAGATGGTAGGTGATCGGCCATATATTGTGCTTCTAAAAGATCGTGAGAAAGAGAAACGACAAGATAAGGATAAATCCATAGAAAAAGACAAGCAACCTGCTGTCCACAAGAAGGTTACTAGTGGAGATGTGAGTACCGCAGCTCCAGGCAATGGGAATGTTAAAGTGCCAGATTCAAATGCTAAAAGTGCTAAGATTCATAGGAAATCACCTCACAGTTTCACATGTGTTATCGAGCACCTATTGGATACTGTTGTGACTTATGTTCCTCCTCTAAAAGTTGATGACCTAGTTGATGATGCTCCGGGTAACCCTCCTTTGGCTGATATGGACATTGATAGCACTAGTGCAGCCAAAGGAAAAGGGAAAGCTCTTGATGTTTCATCTGAAGAGAGCAGAATTGCTGGGCAGGAGGCATCAGCTTTTCTCGCCAAGACAGTTTTTGTGTTGAAGCTGTTAACTGAAATATTCCTGACCTATGCTTCGTCAATTCATCTACTGCTCCGCAGAGATGGTGAAATCAGCAATTTCCGCGGAAGTTCTAAAAGGGCATTGTCTACTAATTGTACTGGGGGAGCATTTCAACATATTCTGCACAATTTCCTGCCATACCCCGGGACATACAAGAAGGATAAAAAAGTAGATGGAGATTGGAGGCATAAATTAGCAACCAGGGCTAACCAGTTTTTGGTGGCATCATCTATTCGTTCGAGTGAGGGGCGGAAAAGGATATTCTCTGAAATTAATAATACATTCAATGACTTTGTTTACTCTGCAAAGGGCTATAGGGCACCTGATTCCTCTATGCATGCGTTTGTTGATCTTCTTAATGATGTACTTGCATCCCGTTCACCTACAGGTTCATATATTTCTGCAGAAGCTTCAGCGACTTTCATTGATGTTGGGCTTGTGAGGTCACTGACTCGAGCTTTACAAGTTCTGGATTTGGATCATGCTGATTCGCCGAAGTTAGTTACTGGTATTATCAAGGCCCTTGATTTGGTGACCAAGGAGCATGTACTTTCTGTTGACCATAATTCTGCAAAAGGTGGAAACTCAGCGAAGGTAAATAGTGATCAGAATCAAGTGGACTCATCTTACAATGTTGGCAACAGGTTCCAATCATTGGAAACCACATCTCAACCTGATCATAATGAAGTGGCAGGAGAACATGTGGAATCTTTCGATGCTGGGCAAAATTCAGTAGGTTCAGATTCTGTTGCAGATGATATGGATCACGACCAAGATCTTGGTGTATTTGCTCGTGAAGCTGAAGACAATTTTATGCATGGAACTTCAGGAGATGGTGGATGCCTAGACAATGGTGTGTCATCTGTTGAAATTAGATTTGATATCCATCAGAATGATGAGGAAGATGTTATCCGTGATGAAGATGATGATGATATGTCGGGGGATGAGGGACACGAAGCAGAGGAAGATGATGAAGAGGAAGAAGAGAATAATGATTTGGAGGAAGATGTAGTCCATCAGATGTTACATCCTGACACAGATCAAGATGATCATGATATTGATGATGAAGAGTTTGATGAAGATATAATGGAGGAAGAGGAAGAGGAAGATGATGATGACGATGACGATGATGGGGTGATTCTCCGGTTGGAGGAGGGTATTAATGGGAACATATTTGACCATATTGAGGTTTTCAGTGGCAGTAATAATTTTTCCAATGAAACACTGCGTGTGACGCCTCTTGATATTTTTGGGTCAAGAAGACCTGGCCGCACTACTTCTATTTATAATCTTCTCGGAAGATCTGGTGAGCATGGCGGTAACCATGAACACCCACTTCTGGAAGAACCCTCTGCATTCCTAGACTTGGTTAATCAAAGACAGTCCGGTGAGTGCTTTGCAAGTTGGCCTATTGGTTCTTAATAGGAGATTGGACCTATTAACTTTTCATAGTTTTTATTGGTAGCATCTAATATAAAATTTAAACAATATTGTCATCTTTCTTACTAATTACTATTATAAATACCACTTGCGGGAGGGTTTGATCTTCATTATCACATTGAAGTTGGGGGGTTTTCCATTAAAATGTTGACCGGCCATTCTTAAAACTTTTTCCCTAGAATTTTTCATAACCTTCTCTCTGAGTTGTAATTTAGAAAAGTCTTTAAGGAATTTATCTCCATCTTAAGAATAGTATAGATTGATTTTTTCGAGCCGCATTCAATTTTCAACAAAGCATTATTATTTCATGGCATCTTTGTTAGCTATCAACTATCACTTATGATCTGTGCATTGTGTCTGATGACCTTGAGCCCCATCCACCCATTCCCTTCAAACATAAACTGGTAGATATAGAATAAATATATAAGTAAAAGAAAAAAAAAGTTCCCCCTGCATTATCGTGGTTTCTATATGCATTTAATTTATATGTAAATATAAGTTTGAAATACTTCAATTCGTTAAAAGTTTTAGGATCGTTGTCTTACAGATGTGGTTTATTCTTTTTTTAGAAAATGCAGTTGATATGGCCTTCTCGGATAGACATCATGAGAGTAATTCTGCACGATTGGATGCTATCTTCCAGACATTGAGGAGTGGGAGACATGGTCATCGATTCAATACGTGGTTAGATGATAGACACCAGCGCAGTGGGTCTAGTGCAGCTTCTGTGCCTCAAGGTATTGAGGAGATACTGGTTTCTCAGTTGAGACGGCCTACACCAATACCTGAAGAATCCACTCGCCAAGATGCTGCTTCAGCTCCACGTGGAGAAAATAATGATTCCAGCCAGTTACAGGGATCTGAAAGTCAGGTAAACGAAGAAACACCGGGAGAAGGGAATGAAAATAATGATAACATGGTTACACCTTCACCTGTAACGGTGGTCAATGGAGCTGGTAATGTTGGTGAGGGACCTGCTGGTGGTGACATGCATCAAGAAGGGCACACATCTGTAAGGGAGGAAAATATTGGCATGCAATATGAACGCAGTGATGCAATCATACGAGATGTTGAGGCAGTGAGCCGAGGAAGCAGTGGGAGTGGGGCTACTCTAGGGGAAAACCTTTGTAGTTTGGAAGTGGAAATAGGAAGGGTTGATGGGCATGATGATGTAGAAAGGCAGGGCCCAACGGACAGACTTCCTTTAGGTGATTTGCAAGGGGCAACTCGGTCGAGAAGGTCATCAGGGAGCACATTGCCAATGGGCAGCAGAGATGTACCTCTGGAAAGTGTTAGGGAGGTTCCACCATATCCTAGTGGAGATGCTAATGAGAATGCTGTACTGGAGGACAACCAGCACAACAGAAGTAGTGGTCCGGATTCGATAGATCCGGCATTTTTGGAGGCTCTCCCTGAAGACCTACGAGCTGAAGTGCTTAATTCAAGACAGAGTCAAGTAGCAGAACCTTCTAGTGATCAATCCCAAGCTGATGGAGAAATTGATCCTGAATTTCTTGCTGCCCTACCTCCTGATATCCGAGAGGAGGTGTTAGCACAACAACGTGCTCAAAGGCGAACCCAGTCACATGAGTTGGAAGGACAACCTGTTGAAATGGATGCTGTGTCGATAATTGCTACTTTTCCTTCAGAAATACGAGAAGAGGTATGTGTTTTGACGAGGAAACTCGAGTAATTTCTGCTATTTTGAGGTTTCTGATGTGCTGTGCATCGTATTTCAGTTTATTCTTTGCTTATATGTTTCTATGATTATCAACCATCTTTTACATTGTGAAATTATGCATTTGCAGGTGCTTTTAACATCTCCAGATACTCTTTTGTCCACTCTATCACCTGCACTTGTTGCAGAGGCAAATATGTTGCGGGAAAGGTTTGCACATCGGTATCATAGCAGCACACTTTTTGGCATTCAGTCAAGAAATCGGCGAGTTGAATCTTCTAGACGGGGTGACATGTTCGGATCCAGTTTGGGTAGAAATGCTGCAGATGCTGCTTCTCGCAAATCTGCAGCTGGCAAGGTGATTGAAACTGATGATGCACCACTTGTTGAGACAGATGATTTGAAAGCATTATTCAGGATTCTTTGTGTTGTTCAGGTAATTAGTTGGTCCCTTAGATTCTGATTTCTTTTGTCATTCGGTTGAAGGTGCATATTGATGATGATACAAATTTGCAGCCTCTTTATAAAGGTCAATATCAGAGGCTTCTCTTGAGTTTATGTGCTCATAACAAAACTAGAACATCTTTGGTGCAAATTCTGTTGGGCAAGTTGATGCTTGATCTTTGGGGATCTTGTAAGAGTAAAGTCAATGTTTTTGAATCACCACATCGACTTTATGGCTGTCAAAGTTACATTACATATTCCCGTCCACAATTCTCAGATGGTAATCTTCTTCTTTTGCTTGATTGCTCTTTCAAACTGTATATCCATATTCCAGGTGGAACTTTTAAAAGTTTAGTCAGCTCTTGTCCAATAGTAGTTACGAATATCTTATTATCTGCACTCGTTCATAGTGGTGAAATCTTTTTAAAAACCTTTAGTCAGTATTCTTTGATATGATTTGATATAACAATTGCATACATCTTTGGAAGTCCCTTGCCTATTGTTTGGTTGAATTATGTAGATGCTTCTATGTCATTTATGCTATATTTACGATCTGTTAAGTAGCTAATGCCGATTGTTTTTACAATGTGGGATATTGCTAAGCTACTTTTAGCTCACTCTTTTTTGCTACTCTTTTAGGAGTTCCTCCATTGTTGTCTAGGCGAATCTTAGAAACTTTAACCTACTTGGCTCGTAATCATGAATATGTGGCCAAACTGTTGCTCAATATTGAGATTCCACGTCTAGTTTTGTGTGACCTTGAAATGTCCAATCAAGGGCGTGGTAAAGCTCTTATTATGGAGGAAGATGAACCTGAAGACAAGAAAGGTGACTTTTCCATTGTCTTGCTCATAAGTTTATTGAATCAGCCATTGTACATGAGGAGTGTAGCTCATCTTGAACAGGTAGGTAAAAAGTAGCTTTGTAACTCTTTCTTAATACTATCTACTAGCTTGTACGCTCCTCCAACTTAATATTTTTGTTGTCTCAGCTATTGAATCTACTTGAAGTCATCATGGTAAATGCTGAAAGTGAGTTTGGGATGCCGGCTAAAGGTGGGGAATCCTCTGAGGAGCCCTCTGGCTCTGGAGGTACCTCACAAGATGCCCCTATGAAGGTTGACACTGTTGGCCCTTCTGAGGATGGTGATAGTAAATTATCCAAGCCTGAGGATCATAGTAGCTCTTCTCCATGTGTGAACAATGAAAGCAGTACTCGTTCTTTGCTTCTTAGCCTGCCGCAGGGGAACCTTCGACTCTTGTGCTCAATGCTAGCACGTGAAGGGTATGAATCATTGATCAGATTTCCTCTTATCTTCTTTTATGTATGCTGAAAGGCATGTTTATCTTATACTCTTAATCTCTATGGTTATTATCTGATGTTTTGTTTGTTCTATGGGAGTCATGAAGTTATGCTACGATATTGTGTATATCCTGCAATGTGGCAATTCTAATATTTTTGTATATTTTATGCTATATTTAGTGCATTGCCACTGCATAAATGGTTTGGGACTTGCATGAAATCATACCCTATGGTTTTTTTGCCTTTTACTTTGGCAGGTGTAAGTGAATCATGGTTGCCTCTTGGCTGCACTAACATAGACACATGCAATTTATCTATCTGATAACATCATAATGGATTTCCTGAGAACTATTTTTGAATGGAAACCAATTCTGGAAATGAATTTAAGTCTGAATTCTTTTAATTTAAAATTTTTCTATGCAAGAAATCTCTTTTTCATTAATTTTCATCCCTGAAGGATAATTAGTAGCTTAATTGCACTCAAATACCCTATAGTTCTAGGTTGCACCTTATACCCTCACTTGTATAATTAGTTGGCTTTGATATAGTTGGTAGAAATCTCGTCTTCCAGTCATTCCCAAGGTCTCTCTTCATTTAAGTTTCACGAGTTCCGAAAAATTGAAAGCTTAATTCTTCTCCTTTCACTTCATGCCAATATTTGTGCTTGTACAGAAAATGGTGTATGAAAATATCTTACTTTACTATAATATAAATAGTTCAATGTTTCAGATTGGTTAAGGATTCCCAATCTTAGGGGTTTGAAGATAGAAGAAGACTAGTGTGCACCCCGTGCAAAGCACGACCCCCTATTTTTTAAGCATTATATTTTGAACTTGCCTCCCTCTAAATTTCAATACATTTGATTTGATTATTGTATGCTTAAGATTAGAAATCATATCACTCCTCTATACTTAAAAGAATGATCCAAGTTTTAATACATTTGATTTAGAAATCATATCCACTCCTCTATACTTAAAGAAGGATCCAAGTTTCAATACACTTGATTTACTTTACTGTTCATGTTACAGTAAATCACTGTAGTATGGATAGTAACTCCAAGTATGAAGAAGCAGATTTGATTCACTGTTTATGCTATAGTAAATCACTGTAGCATGAACAACAGCTTCGAGCGCAGAGGACCAGATTTGATCTATTGTTCATACTACAATCTATTGTTCATACTACAATATTTATTGTATCATTTACTATAGTATGAACAATAATTCTTTGGATTCTCCTTTAAGTATGGAGGAGTAGATGTGATCAAAGGGCATATCTTTAGTCAAGATGCTATAGAACAGTAAGTTGCATGCTTAGGTTGTAGGTCAGTGAAAAGGTCTAGAGGATAAGATCATTATTGTGTGTGAATTAAATGGAACATATTTCTTGGCTAATGTGTATGAAGAGGGCAGCATATGCAGAAATGTCTCACAAACGTGAAATACGAATGCGATGGTGGACAAATTGCACAAGGGGAACTAAGCTTGGCACCTTGTGGCATTGTTTTAAATATCCAAATATAATTGATAAATATCGGCTGATATATTCTTTTATAAGGCTTGCCACAAAACAATATGGTCTAAATATTCTTTATTGATTTTTGGCAACTTTTTGGCGATGTATCCCCAACACGATTGTTATGTCAGCCAATAGCTCTACAAAATTTCTTTAATATTTTTAGCAAAAATTACAGCTCTATGAAGTCTTTTAGCAAAATTATAGTATTTTCCCCTAAGTTTCTACAATTGGTTCGTGATCCTAAACATATTATTTACATTTTTATATGCTTAGATTTCATTAAGTTTAGATTACATTTTAGAACATTATATATATATATATATATATATAT